CCTCCGTGCAGCTGCGTACGTTGTGTGTGTGGAGATCTCATCAACGTGAGCAGCGGGGCGTGAACGTCGAATGACGTCGGAGCTCTGTCTCCTGCTGGCAACGGAACTCTTCTTGACCTGTCGCTCGCTGAGTTCTGTGTCACGGTCTGGCACCGTCCAGGCGTCTTGAGATAAGGCATGAGCCAGCCACTAGATAAAATAGTAAGGATCTAAATAAAACGTTGCATTGTGAATGTTGCGGTATATAAGCGGGGTGGGATGCGTGCATCCGCGTGTGAGACCATCCTGAATGCCTGCGTTACGCTTGGATGTCAGGGCTACTTGCTCCCTGTTGCCGCAGCCCGGGCTCGCCGCGGACGCCGCCAATAGTCAGTAGCTACGCATAACCCGGACTGGGCGCGCTGCCCGGTCGCGTCCGGCAGCAGCGGTGTTCCGCCACGGTCGGCCGGCCCTCGGCGCCGTCATCCCGGCACGGCTCGTCAACGGCCGGAAGCCGATGACGCGGCGCGACGGACCCGCGGCGTCCGCGCCGGCGACCCGACCCGGCCGGTGACGTCACTCACTCGCCACGGCGTGACGTCACCGGCCGGCGCACATTTCGTTTTCCGGGCGGCGCCGCCGCGGAGACGGTGGGTGTTCTTTCTAGCGGCCGGCCCGTTGAAGTCTCGCCGGAGAATCGAGGCAGGCCGGGTGGGTGGAAGCACGGCGGCGTCTCCAGGGACGTCCGCTTGAGACGCAACAGGCCCGTGGCAGCGGCGGCCGCCCGCAAAACGGAACAATGGAAGGCGGCGGGAGGCGTGCGTGGCGCGCGACAAAGAAAACCCGCCCGAGCGGGCCGCGTTGCCGCCGACGACGGACCGCTCTCAGGAGAAACGATCGGCACACGTGCGCCCGTGCCACGCTAGAGCGGCAAGGTCGCCCGTCGCCCGGACCGTTTTGGTTCAGGCGGGGATTCACAGCCGTTTTGCGGCGTCACAATGGGGGGGCCCAGTGCTGTAACTGAAGCGTTTTAACCCTGGGCGGCTCAGACAAGCCCGCGCTGTTGAACGGCGCTCTCCGCTCACTACAACGCACAACTGCTGCCCACTTTCTTCTCGGCCGTGACACAATGTTACCCACATTCACATGGGCCAACTGGGCCCAGAAGAACCCGTTTTCACTTTGGCACGTGACCAGCGTTTCAACGACAGGTCGGACCTGGCGGCCTGTCCACCATTTTCAGGGGGCTCTCGCGGCGCGGGCGGCACGCTATCGCCGCTGCTTCGGTCGCGGCTGTAGGGCCGGCGGCCGCCGCGACTGCAGCCTGCAGCCCGTTGTTGCCTGGGAGCGCGCGCGGCGGGCGGCGACCGGCCAGCCTTGGACACGCCCCCGCGCGCCCGCCGCCGGCGTGGGTTCCCGCCGACGACGGCCGGGAGCTCCGCCGTCACGAGCTCGGTGCTCCACCGGAGCTCCGCCGGAGCACACAACGGTCTGTGAGCGCGGCACCGCAACTGTGCACCGGTGATAGACGCCGAGGCGAACGGGGATTGGCGGTTGCATTGCCTGACGCCGGGCTGTTTGCCGCTGCTGAGCACAGGCTGCATTACGGGAGCGTGCAGCACAACACGCTTGAAGTGGAGCCTCAACGGACATGCTTGTACAGCCAGCCTTCATTCATATAACGTCTATCACCAAACAAAATGCAAGAAAATGCATTGAGACGAGCATGGGCCTCACCTTACGGCTTGTTCATTTCGAAAAGTGAGGTTTTGCGGCACTTAGAACATCAGAGGAGTCAGTTATCGCTCACCTCACGAACGCGTTTTCAGTTAGCGTCCAGACTACTATTCTTCAGACGAATGAACGTGGTGGCTTTGGTTCCATCTGCGCTTAGGGTCCTCAGCAATTAACCATTCGACATCCGCGCTGTTTGATGAACCATGACCTCAAAACCACGAAGTGAACTGTCTACCGGATGATTCCGTCCAATTATGTCGTCGCTATCCAATTAGGGAATATGGTTACCAGGACAATGGGGTTCTGAATACTCCGTTTACGATGGTCAGGCCTATTATCTGAGCGGCAGACAGCTGTGGTAGCTCCTATAACACACTGCTCGGGTAAATCGTCGCAGCTCAACATGCAGCGGGCATTGATGTGCTATGTTTTGCCGAATGTTTGTGCAAGAATGCGCCGCACACCCTTTTGCTGCTATCCCGAATAATTTTGGACAATTTTCGAGTCCAGTTGTTGTCATGCAATGTGAAATTGCATTGCACAAGTGCCAATTTCCGACCAGACAGCTTTTTCGTTGGTATTTCTGACTAGTTAGATTGCGTAAGACGAACATCCAGTCATGTAGGGGTAGTTTAGATCCGTGGGTCATGAAATGAGCAAAACTAACTGCCATTGCATGCTGCTTTACCAATACGCACCACTCTCTCCACGAATAACTAGCGTTGACCAGGCAGCCGTGCCACAGCACCGGCGAAAGTAAGTCCTTAGCCAGCGCGAAACTTCTGGTTCATTTTTTGCGATCCTGAGAAGATGAGAGAGCTCTGCCGAAAAAGTGACTCGTGTGCTGACAGGGGCGAATGCGGGAGCCAGACGGCCCTTGAATTACCCACTGTATGTTGTGCATGTTTTGAAAAGCAATATTAATTCATGTCACTGTGGCATGTTATAAAGCGATACACGCCGCGTGATGTCCTCCATTTTGTCATCAGAGTGGACACACCAGGAGCGACAAACAGCTGATTTCACCAAGTCTTGTTCCTAACACAAGGCAGGAAATGCTAGAAACAAGTGACATTGCCAATTTGACATCGATCAAGACCTGGTTTAATAAGGTGGACATTGATGAATGCAGGGGTGTGGTCCCGTAGCCAGGTAAAGGAATCCCCAGCTTTTTCCTTAGGCTCCCAACACTAAAACGCAAGCAAGTTAAATACGCGGGGGGCTGGACTTAACGTGACCATCGGGGTAGCTTTGCTTATGTTTTCCTGGCTCAGCCCCCTCCCAACTGATTTTCCAAAGCTATGCTCCTGGGCCGATGCCACCGAGCACCGAATGTCTCAGAGCCTCATGATCCGCTGAACTTGTTGACAGATGGGACAGGACAGGCCGCAGGCAAGCTTAGCTTCGTTCACTGTCAGTTGGCACCTTTTCTGCACTGGGATATCGGATTATCCGGGATGTGATGTCATTTTCCGCTCTGGAATGCAGCCTTGGCTTCTGTTGACCGGGCCGAATGCACAGCAACAAGCAGCCACACAAAAACCCGCCAAGCCGTCTTGGCGCCTGCAACCTTCTGATGACGCGACGGTTAAACAGGTGACTGCAATCGCTCGTGCAGTCTAGTGTTTCGCTGCAGCGCCCCCAAAGGAACGGTTCACATCACGAACGGACCGAAATGGTCGCTAAGCGTGCTTTGGGCATATGGCGCCTGTTTGGATGGGGAGCATACGGCTCCCTCTTTGTGCTTCGCTCCTATGGGAAGGGGTGTGGGGAGGCGCTGCGGTTGAACTATTCAGCCATGACCCGTGGAGATAACAGCCATGACGGACAGCAATGCATCCCACGCGATTGAATCTAGGACAGACACCAGTGACAACTATTTGGGGCATGAGGGTTTTGGCATGTCTACGGCACATACTAACTTCTGATGTCTACTACCAATTATAAAGGCCAGCTTGTCCTTGCCTTTCTACTCTGCTGTTGGTTCGATTATGTGAATGGATTTGACAGCGTGGCTAGGATGCACATACCGGCATCAATTAACATTAATGTTGTTATGTGATGGGTGTTTTTTCGTCTTTTTCTTTTTGGTCCATCGGCATTATGTAACGATGCAGTCTTCTAGATGTGCAGGTGGCTGCAAGTATATCAGCTTCCTGCGTGTTCGCAGAATTATCTCAGTGCCCTTTATTATTAATCGAGCGACTGTTCAACCTGGCTTCCGCTTTCCATCGATTACGAATATAAGCCCGAAGAAATCGTGACGAAGTCCTGAACATTTGGATTTTTGGAAAGCATTCCCCTGAGCAATGAAATGACCGCGTGCCATTTGTCTCCAGGAAACGTAGACATCGTGAACGGCAACCAGAAGCTCATCCTCGGTCTCATCTGGAGCCTGATCATGAAGTACCAGATTGGACAGTCCAAGTTCCCGCCCAAGAAGCTCATGCTCTCGTGGCTGCAGGTGAGCGTTCGGCCGGGACGTGGCACGTGACCAGCGCCGGGCCGGCGCCAGGGCAGCTGCTTTCTGGTTCAGACGGGCGGCGCGGGCATTCGCTGTGGTTTCTGGCAATCCTCCGAGGTCCAGCCCACGCTTAAGTTGTGGAAGCGCTGGTCGCATATCGCAAGACCCGTGTTCAGATCTGATGTCCGACGTCTGGCGAGGAGCTTAGCCTGGGCCGCATTTTCTGTTGTGGTGACAGTTACCCCGTTAGTACCAATTTTATCTATATCGCCACACAAGATGGCAATGAAGTCTGAGTAGCAGCTAGCACGGCCCCATGCCAGCCTTGGCTGAGAGTCCGGTCACCGTGCGGGGCCGCTGCACGCTCCGCGCCCCGTGCACAGGCCAGAACTGGGATTACTTGTCTGGACAGCTTATGTGTAGCAATCGACAGATTATCTCCACTTTGTGCCGTTGCCAGCTCCGTTACCACAGGCTGAGACTGTGTATGTCCCGTTAGAGGAGTGTACCGAAATACCATTTGAATGACTAGAGCTCGCCCGCTCCTCGAATAGCAAAGCAATAGCCGATGCTTGATGAAAACAAGTACATGCATGCCTTTAGATTGGACAGATTCCACGCTTACCTACAAATGCTTACAAAAAGCAATTGCAGCATGCTCCCACGCATGCACACTCACGCTCACGCTCATGCAGCCGTATGCGCGTGAGTGTGGGTGCGCCCACTTACACTTGTCACAATAATACCTGTACACCTGTCACAGCACCTGTACATATTCAAGCGCTCCTTATTGCTAACATCATAAGCAAACGCATAACAAGCGCCTATATGGAGGCGCAAGTCGTTATGTGAAGTAATGAATTTCGATATGGATCTGCCGCTCGCCCAGCTTTCCCTCAGTATCTCTCTCGCCCATCTACTGTCCTGAGCCCCGCTTACGGCACCCAGTTTCATATTCCGTAGACGTCCCTCGCCTGTATGGATATGAATAGCTAGTTCTTGCCTGACTGTGTTATCCCAGTTGCAGACGAAGATAGGAGCGCTCCTCGGACTACTTGGACGTGAAAAAGCTGCCTTAAATCAGTGCCACGTTGATATCCAGGGTTGTTTGCTTAAAGCACGCGCCCGGTGAGCCGGTTGAATATCCTTCGCTTGGGTGGGGTCAATTTGACCTCTAAAATCTCACAAACTATGAGAGCTAGAAACACCAATTTCACAAGGTGATTTTGTATGTGCGTTAACGCACTTGAGTCAAAATTTGAGGTTTCCAGGTCACGGTCTTTAAGCTAAATCAGGTCAAGCACGGTCAGACTTCACATTGGTGTCTCAAGTGCCCTCAGGCCATAGCATATGTTTATTTAAGGTCAGTGACCTTGCTTGATCCCACAAAGGTCATGGTGACCAAAATCATACAAGACTGTCTTGATTTCTGCATTTAAATAAATGTCGAGGATTACGCTAAGCAACATGTTCAGAACAACAAAATGTTGACCTGGGAAATTTCAGGTCAGTCACCGATATTGACATTTGAGAAGTCTAGAGAAGGTGTTTAATGCAGTTCCTACTATCAATAGATTCAAAATGAGCTCCAGATACTATTCCACACAGCATGCTCCAGAGCAGCAAAGCAGGTCGGTCTTGACCTTGGCGTAACCTTCATACCTGACTCTAGTTTCATAGCATTTGCTCATTTAATTTTTTGTGTAGCCTGAACGGCATCTCAGAGATGTATGGTTTCGTTTAACACACCTGTGTTGCACCAGACGAAACGATTTCCTAAATATTTTCCTCACTGAATCCATGGCTTGACTTTGACCTGCCAAAGGTCAGCGGCCTTGCAAAGCAATTTGATACCAAACGCTCCGCTATTCAATTGTCTACAGCTGTGTAAAATTTGGCGCGGCTGCACCACACCGTTCGGAGACCATTCTGGAAAACCTTCGGAGTTCAATTCGACCGCCCACCCTGGCGCGTGTCAACCTTTTGGCTGGGTTTCAGGAAAGTATTTCATATTGCATTCCTTCGTAGGGCATTCCTTTAGCGCAAAATTTCGCAACGCGTATACTCGTGCAGCTGGCCATGTATGCTTCCCGTGTGACAAGACTCCCGAGGCCCCGATCATTTGTAACCGGGACACATTTGGGAGGTTTTCTGCACATCCCACTTGAGGGGCTTAGGTTCACTCGGCAGAGGACCTTAGGCTTACCTGAGCGTCTCGTTTTTCCACTCACACAGGACATAGACTAAATACAACTAAGTTGTGGTTTCCGTTTGCTTCGTTGTGCGAAGACATGACGCTGTTGGCGCCGGTGTAGAACCGTCACCAGGCTCCCAGCCACATTACACTGATTCGCACTTCAGGGATGCACACGTGCCCTGCTTTTGTAAGCATTCGATCCTTGCGTTCGTTGGCAGTTCTCTGCGTGTGAGAACGCTACATTCATTGTTGCTCGAGATTTGCGATATGTTTTTGACAACTTCGCTTCTGCGTAACGTATTTCCCCTACATATACGAGAGGTGCCTCTCTTGTATTAGTGATGCGTAACTGCGAAGAGCTTAATGTATGAGGCAATTGAAGCATTTCTTAAATAGCCTTAGTCCATGATATGATCGGTCCAATGAAGCAAGAAAAAATCATGCAGTGGTTAGGCATTTAATTTGCACCCTCCTCAGAATCTGAGCAGGGGTGTGGGAGAAACGGGTTTTTAATGCGATGCGAAGACTGTCAGCGATTGAGGCACTTTAGAAGCCTGAATGCATGTCCTTGTGCTTACCAATAGTCAATATTGCATCACATATGAGCATGCCGTGTTGCACTGGCAATTCCAACACTGGCACACCTTCAAGAAGAGCATCCTAATTGTCTTGATGCGCTATATCCTATCGTATCATAGCAGTGTTAGAGAAAAAATTCCACCTTTTCGTCAGAAACTTTACTGTACACATTGTCGCTAGGTGGGCGCGTCAGCAATGAAATGGGGAGTTTGCTTTCAATAGATTACCCTGTAATGCTCAGAGTTCTTCTTCAAGAGGCGGTTACCCTGGCCTTTCCCTATGTTTGCCGGTTAGACCCTTGATCACTGTGTTTTAAAACTCGTATCTTGTGGTCTGGAATGCTCCACATTTTTGGCTTTTGAGGAAAGCATCAGATATGATGGAAAAACCCGTTTGTAATTATCAGCGTGCTTTCAAGGGGCTTTTTTAGGCAGCGCAAATTCTTAATTTAGTAAATGTGCTAGTCAATCAGAAATGTTGAAGGATATAATGAGTGACTTTGGGCTGTTGGACATGTGGAGGGAGCTCACCCCTTAACAGAAGCAATTTACATGAAGGCGTCCGAACCCTTAACAGCAATCTAGAATTGATTGCTTCATAATGAGCGATACCAGGGCTCTTTCTCAATAAGCCAATCGTTGTAGCCTAGAGCCGGGTGTCCTCAGAGGCCATAGTGGCACTGTTTTGCATTTAGAGGCAGGAAAGCAGAGGAGTGGTCCAGGTGTACGGTAAATGACCAGCGAACTTTTGAACGGCGATCAGCTTAGCGATATGATAAGGATGTGATCTGTGCTGCTAAGAATTAAGAAGGGATGCATGCTGGTTGTAACATAGTTGGAGTGTCAATTGAGACGTTGTTGATTAATGATGGACTGCTATGCATATAAAACGGTACAAAATTATCTCGAGCTGAGCGAGACCATAAAAAGAGACAGGAGGACAGAACGTCACAGCTGGAATCGCTTTGACCAGCTCTTGTGAGGAGATCTTAAATCAGAATCATATAGGAGGTAAGGCAGAGTTTGAAGAAACTAAAGCAGAAGCTGGGAAAAGAGCGATGCTCTTCTCCTAAGTAACCTGGTTAGAAAATTGTGAAAACCTTCTAGATGTTCTTGCGGCTGCTAAATAAATGGGCCGAATATAAGCTAATCAGCATATTTCAAGACAAAAATGTTCGTTTTTTACGGAGGATAAAATCTTCTCGAAGCTTGTAAATCATGCTTCGCGGAACTGCATTGCTTGATTGAAGCCCCTGCGGGAGATTCAGACTTGGTCGAAAATATTCCACAACTGTCAAGCAATGACCGTGCTCTATATGAGAGTGGAATTACATGCGGTGAACACAAATACGCTTTAGGCCTAATGGCTGTTCACAAGTCACCATCAATATTGGGTTTTACCAAGACATTTTTCTGTGCTTACGGAACGATTTGGAGAGTCTAATAGCAGACTTCATGAATGATTTTAATCATCATTTTTGTTCATAACTGAAAGGTGTGGCATAAGAACGCTGATTCCTAATAAGGGCAACCGAAATCTGCTTAAAAAAACAAGCGTCCGATCTGCTTGCCATACGTCGTTTTCACAATACTTGCCAAAGTTCTTGATGTAAGATTTGAAAAGCAATCGAAAAAGTGATTGATTCGAATCAAAACGGCTTCTCTGCTTTAGCAGAGAATTTTCGTGATAACATAATGGCCATACAGGACGTTATTGGTAATGTCACCATTGACCACAGTGCAGGCATGTCATGTGCGTTGGATTTCAAATCAGTATTCAACTCACCGGAGCATGACGACATATTCAACATGCTGCGCCAATTCAATTTCGGACATGATTTATAAGGTGGGTCCGGGTATTGCACAATCGCGAGGGGTTGGCCATATTCAACAATGGCTTCTTTTCCAAGTGGTTTTTCCTCAGCGTGCTGTAATGTGAGGGTGCCCTTTCTCAGGAAGGCTTTTTTTTGGCTGTAGGGATGCTGTCTATAAAATTACGTTCTTCGAATCAAATACGGGAATCACCACATCTGGGGTACAACTAACAATATTACAATATACAGACGACACGATTGCATTTGTAAAAAGTGAAGAGTGTGGCTAAAAAATGCTAAGCTTTTTCAAAGACCTTGCTGAGGCATCAGGACTTGAATTGAATTGAGATTAAACTAAGGTTATGTGGCTAAGCCGATATCGATGAAATCTGGAAACCATATGTGGTAACC